GTGCATGCAAGGTGGCCTCAGGCTGTGAACCTAGAATTTTCTGAGTGGATCAGTTTCCCAGAAGTTGCCAATTTACTGCTGTGAAACCCTTTAGCTCCCTATTATTGTTCATCTTGGTAAAAAGGAAAACACACAAACAAACAAAAGTGTACCTGATCAGCCAAGTGTGGTGTTAAGGTGACTGGATTCTACATGATTGTGTGGTTTGAGTCCCAAACCCGGCAGCTTTAAAAACATGCTAGGTGTGTGTAGGTACATGCCCAAAGTCCCAAGAGGAGAGTGAAGGGACTGCAACGTGGTCATTGCCTGGCCCTGCCCCCGCCCCTCCCTTCTTACTTTGTCTCTAGCAAGTGCACACACCCTATAGCAAATTTTAAAAAAGAAAAAAGAAGAAAGGGGAACCAGCAGTTGGCATAATGGCTATGTTGCTGGACTCCTATGTAGTAGACCCCAGTTGGAGTCCCAGACCTGGTGGCTTAAACTCATGCTGGGTGTGTGTACAGGCCCAAGATCCAAAGAGGAGAATGGAGAAGGGATTGCAGCGTGGCCATCCCCCCCTGGGGGGTGACTTCTCACTTTCTCTCTCTTTCCGGCTAGCGCACAAGCCCTATAGCAAAAACCTCTCCAAAAAAGAAAAAAGAGGAAAATATCAACATTATGGGTATCTTTCCTCCTGCAAGTACCTATGAATACAAGAGGGAGGTGAGGATGGCTTGGAGGACCCTTAATCCTCAACTAATCCTCAAGGCCTTTATGCATTGTTTCATCAGAGAGTAGCCTGCAGGGGGGTGATGAGATATTTGCAACATGTAACAGCTTTCAATGATACTAAACTCCCTCTCGCAAATTAAGGAGACTAATGAATGGTTAGAAAATACGCTTTAATTAAAATAAAAAAAAAAAACTGCCTTTAAGTGGAAAGCGGCTTCTGACTTTGATTTGAAAAATCGCCTGAAATGGAGAGGGCTCGCTCTTCTTCTTTGAGAGATTTGTGCTATTGGGCGCGCACACGCGGGAGATCACTTTTCTTTCAGTAGTTACACAGGAAAAGGCTTCAGCCGCCCAGAAACCTCGCGGTGGCTGCCGGATGCTCCAAAGTCAAGATCCTCCGCAGACAGGAAATGCCTTTGCCAGCTTCAAGGTCCCTCTCCGCAGCCCTGTCCATTGTCTGGAGAGATTTGTGTACATCCGACGAAGAGGGTTCCCGCCTGCAGCTGCGAATCAAAGCGCTGTCTAAAAAGTAGGGACTCATACGGACTTTCTAGCTGGTCTGGCTAGCGTTTGGCGCCTTCTGCGGTGGCTAGGTTTTGAGACCTCCTCTCAGGAGCGCAGCTCAGATTCTCAGAGCTGGGGGACTGCGGCCGGCAATTTACCCAAGCCCCGGCCCGCGAGGGGTGCAGGGACTCCGGCTGCCTCACTGCCAGCGCGGCTGTATCCACAGGGCAGAGTTCTGCTGAACTGCGGTTCCCCGCAGCCACGTTTGAAGGCATGGCTGCTGCTCTGTGGATCTTGGATCCGAGATTTTGGTGAATAGCAGGAACCTTCAAAATACTTCTCGTTTGGATTTCACAATACAAATAAATAAAGAAAGAAAGCATCAGGGACAAAATTAGAAACATTGGAAAGAGCCCAGGATTTCATAAAACCCCAATGAGATAAAAAGTAGATGTCACTACATGTGATTGTTTTGAGCGCAAGATGCCTAACCATTGAGAAGCATCCTGAGGAACTTAAGTCTCCATGTCGTCAGCAGTCCATGAACGTCACCTCCAATCAGATTTCAAAGATCATCAAGTATTGGATCTTAAAGAGACATCAAAAGGGCGAACATCCGTATCATCTTCCAGGAGAGCATTCCTGGGGCAGAAAATCTGGTGCATTCTCCCCAGCAAAATGCATTTCCCCCAACTCCAAATAAGTTTTCTTGAATCCCATTAACTACAATGAACTTTCACAGTAATGAAGCCACAGGTAAGAAAGAAAAACAAAAGCTTGTTGAAAGAGAATAGGTACTTTCACTATCCAAGATGGTTTCTTTCCTTTTTCCCACAAGATGTCTTATCAGCTTTCACCCTGAGAAAACCATAAAAAGTAAGAAAGCTTATGCAATAGTTCTCTAAATACAATACTACACAGCCACTAGTCATCCCTAAAAGTGATGTTGTTTAAAGACAGGAGAGCATTCCTGGGGCAGAAAATCTGGTGCATTCTCCCCAGCAAAATGCATTTCCCCCAACTCCAAATAAGTTTTCTTGAATCCCATTAACTACAATGAACTTTCACAGTAATGAAGCCACAGGTAAGAAAGAAAAACAAAAGCTTGTTGAAAGAGAATAGGTACTTTCACTATCCAAGATGGTTTCTTTCCTCTTTTTCCCACAAGATGTCTTATCAGCTTTCACCCTGAGAAAACCATAAAAAGTAAGAAAGCTTATGCAATAGTTCTCTAAATACAATACTACACAGCCACTAGTCATCCCTAAAAGTGATGTTGTTTAAAGAGTCAAAGTACATCATCCAACAAAATCAATACCCTATTAAGTTAGAAAGGGTTCTGAATATCAAAGACCAATGAACTGAATCACGTCAAGTATAAGTCCACGACCCAGGGGATTAATCACACACTGTCATGGTGAAATTAGGGCAATTCTTCCAATCATTAACGTTTTGCTTACAAAAATGTGCTTTTCTGTTTGTCTTTCTGCTAAATGATAACCATTTTCGAGTTGAATCTCCTGATAAAAAGAGTTAAAAACAAGACAGGAGTTTGTGCTGTAAAGGTCATACATGCTGCTTCAACATGAAATAGCCAAAAGACAAACAAATGAAAAATGCCTGGATTGGAGGAAGAATTTGCAAATATCTGTTGGCAATCTCCAATGGGACACTTTAGAGAAGTGAATGCCAATGTGGATCCCAAGAGGACTGGCGCTCCTCGCTCCTCGGGTTAACGGGTTACGTGCCCATCATTCGGACAGGCCGAAATTCAGAATATGGGCAACTGAAAGAGAAGATTACCTTTACATTGAAATTGAAAAACAGCTCCATTGGGGAGACACGTCTGCTTTAAAATGAGTTTCTAGTGTCAATCAATACAGAAGCCTCTATTTCTCTGCTTAATAGTCATGATACAGTTACCCTCAGAATAAACATTAACCAGAGGTTATCTCGAAGCGAAACACACACACACACAGATTTCAGGATTACTTTAATTCAATATTAGGTCCACAAGCCTCCCATTCTCCAAAAGTCTGATACAGACAGTAAGTCTCATTTTCAGACGGGACTGACTGTGACCTTTGAACCTTGACATAACCTGTGAGGCAGAGTCTGGAGCCTGTGGTTCATGGGAAGGAAAACTCCCACTGGATGGCTGCGGTGGGCTCCAACACTGACACGAGGAGTAGGGGGACGAGAAAGATGGAGTTGATGAGGAGTGTGAATGAAGGGGCAGGGGGATGAGAAAGTAAAGTTGATAAAGAGCGTGAACGGAATTGGGAATGGAGATCAACTCCACCAGCCCTTCTACAGATGAGAAAATTGAGGCTAAGACCTAGAACCTCAACCCCGACCACCAAACTTCCAGGTTTATCCACATCTGTCTGCTAAAGGACCAGTACTAATTGTTTTAGAAATCGAAATTACCCAATTCCAGGGGCTTTCTTGGAATCTAAGGAGGCAGGATGTGATGACACCTTAAGAGCAACGACTTAAGGGGGGGAAACCTATTAGAATGACGACAGTACATTATGATGTAACGTTTATTAGTTGGAGATCATGAATATGGTAATTTAATCCTTGATTTGATTGTCACACACTGCCTACAAGCTTTGAAAAATCATTTTGGATTCCACAAAATGGGCAACAATTAAATGTAAAATTAAAATTACAAAATGTTTAGAGTAACGACATTTTTAACTCCCATCTTCACCTGAGGCTCCATGTCTAGGGAGCCACACCCTGGTCGCGGGGCCAGGGTAGGGTCATGCTTTCATGGCCCTCAGCCAGGAGGTGCCAAACTCAGCAAATGGAAGCCTCCGTGGAGGCCAAGGCTGGTGGGAGAGTGTTCCGCCTCTCCCCACAGCACAGATCCTTTGTGGTCCTGGAATGCCGGGGACTCGGTGGCATAGCTGGACAAACAGCCTCCCACACACGCACCCTGCGGTTTATTCTGCCGCTTCTCACCGCACCCCTTTCTCCACCCACTCCTACCTCCCTCCCCATGCCCCTGCTCCCCGTTCTCCTCCCCACACCCCACCCCACCGCCTAAGCTGGGAGGGAAGCAGGTTGGCGGGAGTGAAGGAGGAGTGGAGGTCCCACCTGCTCCTTCCACGCGCACCTAAGCAGGGGGCCCCAGTGTAGTTCCAGGCCAGCAGCCTTGGCGTCCCCTGGGCACTCAGAGCTGCAGATGCCCCGCCCAGGCCTCCCGAGCCAGCACTCGGGGCGGGGCCGCAGAGTTCCCACTCGCCCAGCTGGTGATTCTGAGCCTCTGAGCCGGAACCTGCCCAAACGCAATCTACGCCCCGCCGGATCCCCCAGACCCCAGGACCCCGGCCTCGCAGCGCAGAACCAGCGCCTGAGCCTCGGCCGCCAGGGTATGACGCGGTGTTGACTCACTCCGGTCAAGGACGGTGTCCAGGGCTAGTCCGCGTCGCAGCAGAATCGATGGGGCACGATGGGTCTGTGCTCAGCGGCGCAGCTCAACCGGGCCTGAGCCGGCATTCTCCCTGCCTCCTGGTGTGCCGGGGCTCACACCTGCCCAGGCGAGGTGCCGCCAGCTGGAGCCGCCCCCAGTACCCACGAGCCCAGCGTACTCGCATCCTCTGCACCCAAGTCCATGTCTTGGGCTGGCGGGAGCCACACTCAGACCGCCCACCAAGCACCGCACCGTGCACAGGCTGCGCTTCACGAAGACAGGTGCTTGGCCTTTAAAAATCAAGGAATGGTATGTCCCACGAGGTCAGTCGTCCCGAGGACGGATTTAATTTATAGACAAGTTATTCATTAAAAAAGGGGTTTTAATGAGTGAATAATATTTTTTACAGTGCACGATTCTATATACACGTTATAAACAGTGCTTAATATAAAACACAGTATCTACAATCTACTTACATTTAATTAACCTGCAACTTCTAGTTCATCTGGGATTCATTTCGGTCTTCAGGTCAGTTTCTCCACTTGCATTGGTACAGTCCCCTAACACCTCCGTCAAACAGGCCCTAAGGGGTAGTGAAACCCAGCATCTGCAAGTCTTCTCAATACCTTTCTGACAAAGAGAACATGCTTCCCAGAGACAGAGCTCTGACGGTGGGATTTAAGACAGCAGTAGAATGTCATTTCGAAGTACGGACTTCCTTTTAAAATACTGCAAGGCTTCCAGAATTGTGAACCCCTTGTTCCAAGATACCTCTGGATTTGGGGTGCCCATTGCTCTTCCATTAAGTGGGATTTAGATATGAATTATAGAAAACTCATTCAAGAAGATCCTATCAAGAACCTTTATAACTTTGAAATTTAAACAAAAAAACTCAGAATTCCTTTTCATAAATAGAAATAACCATTTACTTTAAAAAAAAAAAAAAAGGGATGAAATTAACCACTGCAAAGTCACCATACCCCCCACAACCTAAAACCGATCCATACACCACTTGTTAAGTCAAAATTAAGGTCCAAGTGCAGGTTGGTTAATTAACCAAAACTAATTGGGTCATGCACCACAGACTTTGGGTTTTCAGAATACCGGAAAATTGATCCCTTTGCTCAGAGAGAATTCCAGGTCTTCCACGAACTTTCTGTGGCAGAACGTTACTTCCAAGTCTGGTTTTGTCAACAAGTCAGTGCCCGCGATCATCACCCGGCATTAAAATAGCCTTTATCACCCTCAATGTCCACTTCCTGATCAGAATCCTCTGAAATCTCTGATTCAAGGTCTTCCTGGGAGACAGGGGAGGGCGAACACTGCGAGCTCTCTACGGAAGCACCTTTATTCGGTTCACTAGGCAAGTCTGGCCTCTGCTCGCAAGGACTGTCTAAACTTTCCAGTTCTTCCTTTTTATTGCTTTGAGGGTTCTCCTGAATAAAGGGAATAAACATAGAAATGGTAGGGTCATGAAATATGGAGAAAAGTCTTCTCACCCAGTACTATGCTTTTCATGTTTTACTTTATCAACTGTTTTCAAGCTATTATCTTTTTTATTCAAAAAATACACACTTGTGCTTATTTTTCAGTTTGGAAGAAGAGAAATAAACATTCTTGTTCCATCAGAGAAAGCATATACTCTTGACAGGTAAGAGCCAGCCACTAATGTAAGTGTAAATGTATTCCATCTGCTGAATGCTGCTCACCGGCCCAGACCACACCTCAAGATTCTCAAAAGTTTACAAGGAAAAAGAAATCAAATCACTGCATCTGCACACTGCATTCATTTTTTAAATATGTAACAGGGTCTTCTAGACATTAGGAAATAAGAAAGCTAGGCAGTGATTCAGAAGAAAGTTTCAAAAGTATTCAAATGACTCCTTTTTCACTCATTTTCTGGAGCAAATTTATCAACATCCACATGCATAAATGGGTAGCGAGTTGCAATATTACAACAAAGGAAAAAAGGCAGGGCTGGAAGAAGGTTACCAAGTGAGAAGGGGACCAGTAACCACAACTGGCTTAAGATCTGGGGCAAATGTATGCAAACTATTCCCATGTTACATAAAAATCACTATTTTAAAAGTGCCTGGTAAACTAGAGTCAAGCTTTTGACCAACTAAATAAGTCAGTAAATTTTCAATCCTGTGCACTGTCTAAAGTGGATATAAACCCTAGGTAGAAACATTATGATATACTGCTAAGATTGTTTTTAAATAAGACTCTAGAATCATAGATTGATCAGGCTTGCAACCATGTAACAAATGTTAATAGATGTCCAAGATCAGAGATTAAGGGGGAATCTGCAAATATTTAAATCATGTTCGAGCAACAAAAATTATGAGAATTTTACTTTCTGTTTCAAAATTATCTTTTTGGGGGCACCATCTTGTTTTTAATGAAAAGGCAATGAGAAACACATTTTAAAATCCACACTGCTCTAAATTTCCCCCATTTGTATTCTTTCAAAATATTTTATTCTAATCTGCACATAGATTGGCAAATGAACACTTTAGCAATCTTCGGGCAACGTTAGAGAACATATCCAGATTAGGACATCAAAAATGAATCTTTAGCTTTAAGTCAATAGAGCTGCTTTAAAAACTGAATTAGCCTTTGCTTTGATCGGCTATTACATAACAAGGTCATTGGAAGAATGACTCTTAGGAAGTTTAAGCTACTTTCCAAACAAGCTTGCGCATTTTCTTATATGTTTTCTAGTCATTTTAAGAACTGGCATTCACTGGAAAATCATTTTAAAACCCTTTGATATTTAATTCTTCTAAAAAAAAAAACAGGGCCAACACAACTGAGAGGTGTTTGTTTCTTTATATTTACCCTCGAGTTCTGCCTGGTTTTATTATGGCTGTGTAAATAAAAGAAACAATTTTCTCCCAAAGATAACTGCTTAAGTCATTTACTGTCAATTACTTTATCTTTCCTGCGTTAATTAGATAAACAACATATGGGGTTTATAAAACAATTAGGCAGAGTTTTACTAGCCCCGTGTGTGAAAACCCCAGCATAATTGCTATAGGAACTGCATTAGCTGCTTTTAGCGTTACTGCCACCTGAGTGCTCATCCTGGTTTTTTAGCAGGACTATTTGCCTTTTCAATCAAGGTGAAGAGGTTAAATAGTCCCTCAAATGACTTTTGCATACAACCTATAACAGGCCTTGGATTGAGATAATAAAATAAAAATATTTCTTTCCCTTTCCCTAGAAACAGAACCTTGTCGATACCTGCTTTAGTCTTCTCCATTTAGCGCGGCGATTCTGAAACCAGGTTTTGACCTACCAGAAAGAGAAAGAAAACTCGCCAGGGGTCCAAAGCCCTAAGGGATTTGAGGAGGCGGTGAGGAAGTGGACTCAGAACTGCAGAGCCCACCATCCCTCCAGGGAGCGCCAGGGCAGTGCGCCCGCCTCACCCAAGCACACAGCGGTAACACGCCCCTCTTTCGCCAGCAGTCCCTGCCCCAGAAGCCTTCCCCTGGAAAAGGTCCCAACCGACCCGGCCCCGCAGCCCCTGCCCCAGAAGCCTTCCCCTGGAGGAGGTCCCAAGCCCGCCAGGCGCCTCACCTGCCTCTCGCTGAGCTGCAGCATCTTGGCCAGACGCTTCCTCTCTGGCGGAGAGAGGTATTTCTGGGTCTCGAACTTCTTCTCCAGCTCTATGGTCTGGTCGTTGGAGAACCTCACCTGGCCGCCTTTTCTCTTATGCAGAGGCCTCTGCAGGAAGGGACTCCAGAGCAAAGGTTTGCCTGCGGGCAGGAGGGGCGGTAATCAGAGCTGGCCCTGAAGCCCTACCTGGCTTGGGAGGATACAACGAAGGAGGAGACGCAAGGCGCCACCTACCCCACAGGTTCACGTACACCCGCAGGCGCCCTGGCCCAACAGGCTCACAACATACTGACACGCTTGGAGATGCACACTTGACAAACACTCAAAGGCACACACCCTCCTGCACATAGACCATCCTGTAGCGTCGCAGACACACACCCAACCATCACACCTATGGCTAAATACTAACACCAAGCTTTTCCTCCCCCAAAGGCAGCGTTTCAAATGCCAGACCCTCTCTCCTCAGTTGCTCTCAATGGAGTCACACCTTGTTGCGCTTTCAGGTCCTCTCCTCTCCTGGTGACTGCTCTTTTGAAACAAAATTTGGGGGGGAAGAGGTTTTTGCTATAGGGCACATGAGATCGCCAGAAAAACAGAGAGAGACAGAAAGGAGAAATCACCCCCAGGGAGGATGGTCACACCGCAATCCCTTCTCCATTCTCCTCTCAGGATCTTGGGCACGCACGCACACTCGCCCGGTGTGAGTTTAAACCACCGGGTCCAGGACTCAAACTGCAGTTGACTACATGGGAGTCCAGCGACATAGCCATTACGCTAACTGCTGGTCCCTCGAAACAAATATTAATAGCTGGGGGGTGTGCGTTTGGGTCGGGGCAGGGCTGTTCCACCAAGCCTGGCTTCCAGGCCAGCGCTCTGCCCGCCGCCACCTTAGGCCGCGGAGAAACCTCCAATCCTGGCCCGAGGGCGCCGCGGCCTCCTCTGATTTCACACCCCGCCCGGGGGCGGCCAGTTAAAGCCGCCCCGTGGGCTATGGCAACATTTCCGTCAATGTGTTTCCTGTTGGTCTATCTCGAAAAACCCTTTGCTTCCTCCTGCGCCGTCCCAGCAGTAACCCAAGGAAACCCGGGGCTCGCTCTGTGAAAACGCTGTCCCAGGCCCGCCGGGCTGCAGGCGACAGAGCCAGGCCAGGGCACCAAACCCTCGAGACTGGAGTGAAAAATACCATTTTTTTTTAAATAAAGAGCTAAACTATAACTCCCTCCCATACTAAGGGCAGTGAGTTGAGCTGTAAACCAGGCCTAGTAATAACGACGTTAAAACGTCAATTAATTAGGTCTGTTGTCTCCAGGCCCCTACCGAAGCTGTAGCTGCCCATGACAGAGAATGGACCCAGAGCCAAGGGCCACCCACAATGCGCATCGCGAGTGGCTCATTTCTTAGGCCACATGGCTGAGGGGACAAGCCTCGTAAATTCTAGATGTTCAACGTGGCCAGGCTGCTACTTCTGACTAGTGCCCGGGGTCTGCAGTTCCCTACTCCGTCATTCAGTCCGTCTGCAGGCCTGCACCTGAGCGCTTTGAAAGCTTGTATTGTTTGTTTAGTTTTTTGTTGTTTTTTTTTTTTCTTTTTCGAGATTTTGCTTGCGTCAGGCTTCAGACGGGTGCAAAACAGCCTCGAAAAAAAAATAGGAAGCAACTGGTTATTTTAGCTGCCATAAAGTCACATCCCACACAGAGGAAATGAACAATATCAGAAAAACGGATCCCGGCTATCAGAAGTCGAGTGTTTCCTGAATTTGTCTGTATTGAGGATGTCGATAAAATAATCAGCAGCGTGCACCACTCCGGGGGAAGGGTCTGCTTCGTGCAGCCAGGAAAACACTTAACAGCTTCTGAAACCAGATTTACTCCTATCGAGAACTCAAGGTTTCCTGTATGAACGGAAAGGGTCAGGCTCTTTCACTGCACAAGCGTGTTGAACCGGGTCCAGCCCCGTAACCCGCGCCCGGCGGCTATCCCTGCCCGGCAGGGGCCGGCCCGGGGCGCCTCGACACCCTCCTGCCGGTCGCTCCGGCTAGGAGGGCTCCACCCTGGGTGACACGCGCGGCCCGG